GTTTGACAGTTATAGAAATTATTTGCCTGGGGTTTTCCTGGTTGGCCAAAAAAAGAAACAAATTTGATAACGAAAGTTTTTCCGTACAATTGGGGTTAAGAAATCAGACATGGCTATTTTTTCTTCAAGTTGAGCGCCGGAGCGGCGTGTTTGGAAGATTTTGAAGCCCCCTTCTTTTTTGGAATTTTCAACCTTTTATTAGTCGGACGACTTTTAAGAGTCTCAGCAATTTTGTGAGCTGCACGAGCAGCAGCAGCACGAGTGGACGGTCGAGTAGCGACATTGGCCGAGTTAATGATTGATGTCTCTTTCCTGAAAGAAGCGAATTAAACCGATCAGGATGATGTTCGAATATTCCGTAAAAATTATACTTTCACCGCCTTTTCCTTTTTTTTTTGCTCTTTTTTTTTTGGCTTTTTTTTTACCCTTATAGCAAATCGATATTGCGAGGAAAACGATGTTAAAATAGTTTTATGAGAGTTTCGGGCTACTTACTCAGTTTCATGTTGGTTCTGACGAATTCGACCTCGGGCGCAGGTTCAACACCAGGTTTCACGGGACGCATGACTTCCAGCGGCTGGTTTTCGAGTTGATTTGTCAAACTGTCTAGAATGATTGAATAATGGACGCCAGGAAGAATAAATTAACCGCTTTTTAAGAACAGGGCGATGAGCCGGCGGTAACGAGCGAATGGAGTTTCCGGCTTTTCCGATGACTCCGCAGCTGAGCTCAAAGTATCTGTCGGTTCTGTCGTCTTGACAGTGAGTAAATTTAGTTAAAACGGTTTCACAAGATTCGAAGCTGAGATTCATTCAAATGCAATTCCAGCAAATAATGAATTTTTATTCTTCTGAGGTCTCTTTCCTCTGGATTTTTCGAACACACAATACTTTTATACGTTTTCAGTTAACGTTTTTTCTACAAATTCACAATCTCACATTTAAACTCAATTTTTTTTTGATATTCAGAAACTCACTTTATCAAGTTTCCGGCCATCGTTTTGCATTTCCGTCTTCGTAACGAGTTTTGAGCATGGAGCAGCTGTCTGTGATCAATTCGGGATCTTTCTCGAGTTGTTGCTCGGAATATCCAAGGGTGTCGAACCTGGTTTAGCGACCTGAGCGCAGGTTCTGGAGGTCTGTTCCTTGCATCACCGTCGTTCTGTACATTGACTTTTTACTTCAAAAGTTTTCAAAATTTGGATTATCAAAATTCATCAATCATGAAACTTTGTTTTTAAACTTTTGCACTGTTTGAAAAAAGCTCTTCCCACGGAATGTGTGAAGATATTTGCTTCAAAGAAAACTTACTTGTTTTTTGAATCTGGTTCTCGACGAATCTCCACCTCGGGCACAGGTTCCATTGCACCCACACCTTCCAAAGACTGGTTTTCGATATGATCCAACAAGCCATGTCTTCAAATAAATAGGTAAAGAAACTGTAAGAATAAACTCCACCTTTTTTTCAAGACGACGTCAATGAGCCGTCGATAACGAGCGAATGGAGTTTCCAGCTTCTCTGATGGTTCCATGACTAAAGCCGAATCATCCGTCAAGTTTTCAGCCGATCTTAAAATTGAGTGATTTGTATCGGGTTTTGCAAGATTTGAATACCGTTTGCGAGAGCTTCCGTCAGTGGTGTTGACAAATCTTTTTTCACTTCCGGAAGAATGTTCAGTTCCAGTGATCAAATTGCAAACTTCGCTAAAAAATTTTGATAAGGAAGGTCAAACGAAAAAC